TATAGAATTCGCCTCCTTTCTTACCTGCGCTATCGGCAAAATATTTAATGAGAAATTCGTACGCGGCACCCAACAGGTCAGGGAATTCTAAATTATCATCGGTGAGCTTTACTTTATTGAATTCACGAAGCAGATCGCGAAGATCTTCATCCGTAATCTGCTTGTTGTTCTTGCCAATGCTTTTGTTGAAATTGATGGACTTTAATACTCCTTCCAGTTTGTCAAGGTTCGCATCTTCCAAAGCCGCTAGTGCTTTGTTTAGGTGGTCACCAATTTCTTCCTGAAGATCTTTGATATAGTTTATAGGTTCGCCATTTTCATCAACATCAGGATCGCCACTTAGCCTTTTCCAACGTGCTACCAGAGGGATAAAGAAATCATATTCAGGCGCATTCTGTTTTTCAAGCTCGTTATACGGCACGTCGTCTTCTTGAACATGGCGTTTTTCAATGAGGTTTGTCTTTCGTATTTCCCTCTGTGCTTCAAACTGGTCATTTACTCTTTTCAAAAATAGCAGCGCGATGATGTATTCTTTATATTCGGAAGCATCCATATTACCACGCAGGCTTTCACAAGCTTCTTCCAAAAAGGTCTCTAAGCGGGATAACGATAATTTATGAGTGGACATTCGAAGATTTAAATGAAGTCGTGAAATTATAGTAGTAATTTGATCTAGAGAGATTTTTCTTAGCCATTTAGAAAATGTCCCGTTTGCGTCGTTGCAAGTGAATTCTCAAAATATTTTAGTTTTAAGCCGTTGCTAAAAAATTTGGCTTGTAAAGGGATATTTTTTGTGCACTTCCACTGCACAGTTGGATGCAAACTTTACATTGACGAAATAAAAATCACCATACCATGCCCCACTTTGACGAAGTAATAAAACTTCGGTAACTGCTGCATACGTTCCATTTCTAAGCCAAAGTCAGCGGCCAAATCCTTGTAGTTTTCCTGTGTACTCTTTCCAAGAATTTTGATGTTGGTATTACCCATTAGTACCCTTTTAAAATTGCAGTCTGAAATATCTTGCCTAACTAACTGTTGCGCCAATGTGAGGTACAGCCTGTTTGATCTTGCTTCTGCCAATACGTCTTTAATCGAGGTAGTAACGTAGTTGTGGAATTCTTCGACATAGAGGTACGTAGGTGTTTTTAGGTGGTCAGGCAGACCACCTCTTTGCATGGCCAATACCTGTATAAGCGATACCAGCAGCTTGCCAAACTGTGCCGATACTTCAGCACTCATTTTACCTTTGTCCAGGTTAAAACGATACATTTTTTTTGGTCGATTAGTTTTTTAAGATTGACTGTACTTTTTCCGGTAGTCAGCTTCGCGAAGATTTGAGAATTTAAGAGGTTGCGGGTACGCCATTTGATACCTTCCCTGGTCACATTGGCAATGTCCGGAAAATCATAATTAAAGAACCTGCGTACAGATTCATGGTGACGCTTGATTACAAAAATATGCTTAGCCGATTTCGTTCCCGCCCTTTTCCCTCAGTTATGAAATCGCGTTTTTTATTGTAAGTACTGAGACTCATATTGTCAGAAACTTTTACTGCCTATTTATTGCTCAAAATCCTTTAAGCCCGTGTCCGCCAACAATCCATTGCATTTTTTGTTAACAATGCGATAAGAAAACTATATAATTTATATTTACGTGCGGTACGTTTAATCCAGTAGAGCTGAAAACAACATATCCTTATCACTAAACACTGTTTTATTTAAACAATATTGCCTATGTATTACATTCTACGCCCAAAAGTAATGGTACTTATCAGGAAAAGCCTGATAGCACTTTGCCTCTTGCTTATCGGTCTGGTATCATTTATTACAAGGTCGGGCGCACAAGCTTGCCCTCCGCCGACAGGCGTATCGGCATCACCCGTGTCAGCTTGTCTTGGTAATCCCATTACACTTTCGGCAACCATACCATCCGGCACCACGACCATCAATTGGTACACCGTATCGTCCGGTGGCACGGCTATAGCCACAACTACATCAGCCAGTACTACCTATACCCCAACGGCAGCCGGAACCTATACGTTTTATGCCGAGGCGGCTAGCAGTAGTGGCGGTGGAAGTGGGACACCACAAACCTTTTCATACACCGGTGCAGTGCAATCGGTAACGCTACCCTCCGGTACTTACACATTAGAATGTTGGGGGGCCAATGGAGGAGGTTCTCAAGGTGGGAAAGGTGGATACTCAACAGGGACGCTTACCCTTAGTTCTGCTACAACTATTTATGTTGTTGTTGGCGGGGCGGGCGGTAGTGGAGGTATCCCCGCTGACATTAACGGTGGGTACAACGGAGGAGGTCCCCGTCCATCCCCATGTGGAGCCACACGAGGTTCTGGTGGTGGCGCAACGCATATCGCTACTGCAACAGGGCTTTTAAGCACCTTGTCCGGAAATCAATCGGCTGTGATAATTGTTGCCGGCGCCGGTGGCGGTGGTTCGAATGCTGGCGCAGGAGTTGGTTACGGCGGCGGTTTAACAGGTCAAAATAGCAACGGACCAAATCCAGGCTTAGGTGGGACTCAGACAGCCGGAGGCGCGGCTGGAGCGGGAGCAAGCGGTTCACCCGGCACTTTTGGACAAGGCGGTCAGTCCCTTAATTGTGCTGGTGGCGGCGGAGGAGGCTGGTACGGCGGCGGTGCAGGTGGCGGGGCAGTTGGAGCCAATGTTGGCAATGGTGGCGGCGGTGGTGCAGGCTATATTGGTGGTGTAACCTCTGGCACAACTGTTCAGATGGGTCAAACCGGTTTTGTAGCTAACCCCGACGCCACCGGTAATGGCTATGTACGAATAACTCCTTTATCTTCTGGATGTGTCAGTACCAGAGTGGCTACGGCTGTTGTAACGGTTTATGCGTTACCTACGGTTGCCATTACACCGGCAACTGCCGATATTTGTTCGGGTTCTTCCATAGGGTTAACGGCAAGCGGTGCAACCAGTTATTCATGGTCGCCGGCAACGGGTTTGAGCGCCACAGTGGGAAATGCGGTTACAGCCAGCCCAACAACAACAACCACCTATACCGTAACTGGTACAAGTGCCAATAGCTGTACCGCAACTGCAACGCGTACCGTAACGGTATCTGCAGCGCCGGTAGCAGGTACACTTGCAGGTACACAAACAATTTGTGCGGGCAGCACAACCATTTTTAGCGTTAGCGGAAATTCTGCCACCGGCACATGGTCAAGTGGCAGCACGGGGGTAGCAACAGTTAGCAGCACCGGTGTGGTTACAGGTGTTTCGGCAGGTACGGATACCATCACCTATACCGTAACAGGAACAGGTGCTTGTAGTAATGCTACTGCAACACGCATAGTAACCGTCAATCCGCTGCCTGTCGCCACCGCTACCGCCGCAGGACCGACCGCCTTCTGTACCGGTGGAAGCGTCGTACTCAATGCCAATACCGCTACAGGTATTAACTACAGATGGCTGCGTAACAATATCGTCATCACCGGCGCTACCGCCAGTGCCTACACAGCTACTACCACCGCTAACTATGCTGTGGTAGTTACCAATACAGCTACCGGTTGTGCCGATACCTCCAGACCTGCTATTGCTGTTACCGTTTCCACCATCCCGGCCAATACACTCTCGTTCACAGGTACACTCACCTTCTGCCAGGGCAGCAGCGTAAGACTCCAGGCGGCCGCCGGCACCGGATATACTTACGTCTGGTATAAAGACTCCGGCATCATCCCAGGAGCTACTACCTCTTCTTATACCGCTACCGCCGCAGGCGTCTACTATGTCGTGATCACCAACGGGTCTTGTAGCACAACTTCCATTACCAGAACCGTTGCCGTGAATCCCCTGCCTACCGCTACCGCTACACCGGCTGGACCGACCGCTTTCTGTAATGGAGGCAGTGTCATCATAGATGCTAATACAGGCACCGGGCTCACTTACCAATGGCAACTCGGCACCACCAATATACCGGGCGCTACTTCGCCTTCTTATACAGCTACCGCTTCCGGCACCTACTCCGTGGTCGTATCCAATGGCATCCTGTACCAATACCTCCGGCACCGTGGTCGTGACCGTAAGCACCATGCCCGCTCCGGCCATCACTGCTACAGGTGCGCCTTCCTTCTGCCAGGGTGGTTCTGTTACGCTCAATGCAACTACCGGTGCAGGATACACCTATCAATGGTTAATCAACAGCAACCCGATACCAGCGGCCACTGGCGCTTCTTACAGCGCCGCCGCTTCCGGTAACTATTCTGTAGCCATCACCAATGGTACCTGTGTTGCTACATCGGCTCCATTTACCGTAAGTGTTACTCCTGCCCCACCAGCCATTGTTACACCGGCAGGACCTACTACCTTCTGCCAGGGGGGATCGGTTCTGCTCAATACCAACAGGGGCTCCGGATACTCCTACCAATGGACCAAAAACAACATCAATATCCCAGGGGCTACTTCATGGCAATACACCGCTGCTTGCTACCGCCGATTATGCGGTCAATATCTTTGATGGAACCTGTCCTGCCGTTTCCGCCATTACAACCGTAACCGTGAACGACTTCCCGGTAGCGGTGATCACGGTAGTTGGTCCGGATATGAGCACAGGTACCTTTGCATCTTACCAGTGGTACCGCAACGGGGTGCTGATCCCTGGTGCTACCTCGCAGAATTACACCGCAGTGCGTGATGGTTTCTACTCGGTAGTGGTTACCGATGCATTGGGATGCTCGGCTACCTCACCCGTACAACAGATGACGGCGCTGGA